CCGGTAATATCACGCGCGAAAGGCAGAGAAGAAGGAAGAGAAGAAAAATAATAAGAGCGACGTGTGCTCGCATTGAAACGACGGCATTACGATCGAAGGTCCGGTGTTATTGCGCACGCGTCGCACATATGCACCCGTATAATTGCATTTTCTCGGATGCGCGGCTTTATTCGCGCGGCAAAGCGAAATGCAATAAAATATATTATACAATGAAGCGGAGGATTTATCCGCGAATTCAATTATCCATCACGGTCGAAAGATTAAATCTCCATAAATTACGCGCTATACCGGCGATGTTCATTAGCGACACGGTTCGAATAGCCGCCAAGTGTTACGAGCGTAATGCGCGGTAAGCGTTACCGCATATATCACACGCGATATCTGCGCTCCTCCCGATATGTTCTTTCACGCGCTCGAAATTAAACATACACTCATATACGCACACGTCACGGGCGGCCTCCACAAAGAATCTTCGATTGCAATTATCAAACCACAAAGCGCGATAACAACAGAAGCGGGACGAGTCTCGCGCTTCACGTTCGCTGTTCCTATATTTCTCCCAATAAAGCAGAAAAGTATTATAATGCTTGGAAACACATCCAACTCTGGACAATCTTGTTGTTTTGATCTTTAAATACGCGTATCGAAATTTTCGACGTAGATGAATACATATACATATTGAATGTGCATATATTCGATACTCCGAAGGTTTAAATATCCGTATTCAAAGACTAATTCGTAAAACTCGTAAGAATTTGTGAATGGATCTGCAATTCTATGCGGACCGTATGTCATATAATAACTCGTAAATATCTACAATTTTTTTTTGTTTTTTTTCGTAAGCTACTTTACGATTTACTCGTACATTTGCTTAGAATTGCAGCATTAGACTCATATTATAGTATAATAGTCGTTAATAGTCGTTACTTGAAACTCTTCTCAAGTGAGATACTCAGATCTGAGTTTAGAGTTAGATGAGAGTTTTTCAATTGAACCGTAATTACAGATATATTGTCACAAATAACATTATTCAACTAAAAAAACTTGAATCTAGTTCTGAAAAAAAAATCTGAGTGTCTCACGTTAGACAAATTTCAAGTGACGATTATTAATATAGCTCTAAGACAGTAAGAATACCCAGGCCTGTGTACACGCTCAGGTGTATCGGTGTTTCTTTACTAAAAAGTTTCATTCGCGCGGCAATCAGAAACGTCACGGAGGAATCCGCCCGTACTGTACGATCGATCGATCGAGTGTGCGATTTTCCGGTACCAGTTTACCGATCGTAACGTATCTGTGTGTCTGTATCGCGGTGGGAAATCGCTAAAGACCTGACGACCGGCCGGAGTAGCCGCCCGACTCTCCTCGTGGATTTTCCACTTGGTTTACGGCAAACAGCCGGGCGTACGCCCCGACCGGGGAGGGAACAAGCGATGGATGATGTCACGCACTTGCGGTTGATAGCCGCAATCTCTCTGCGAGGTGCGTCGGCACGATCGACATTCGAGATTCGGACATGGTCGCGGCACCGCCGGGCTGCATCGCGTTTTATAGCGCGTTTTACTGCGTGTGGTGCGGCTGACCAGTGCTCTCTCTCTCTTTCTCTCTTTATCTCTCGTCTCTCTCTCGCTCGCTTGCTCGCTCACTCGCTCGCTCGCTCGTTCTCTTCTCTTTTTCTCTCTTGTCCCCCGTGTTCCCTCGCGCATCCACACTCCGGCCACGATCCTCCTCGCTCCTCTGTCCTCCTCTCTTTTCTCTGTAAAGGAGGCACGACCAGCGCGGCGCAGGGTCACGGCCGGACATCGTCTGCTGTACTCTTTCTCTCTTTCCTTCTCTCTCTCTCTCTCTCTCTCTCTCTCTCGGCGCTCTACACCCACACTACATCTGTTCTACCCGCGTAGCGTGTTCCCCCTATCTCACTGTCTCTCTCTTTCTCTTTCTGTCTCTGCCTCTCTCGCCGTGCACTCTCGTAAAGCTGAATTTCAATGTGCGCCGAATATGAGCCATCGCGATCTCGCGAAAGACGTTCCGTCGCGCCTTTGCGACGCTTCTCTATGCGAAAATCAGCACTGTGTATGTGTGTACTTCTTTCTCTCTTTTTCTTCTCGCTAACTGCTCAACGCGCGCCAAAATTGCCAGTATCGTCGAAACGTCGAAGAGAAAACGCGGCAGCTATTTAATTGGCTAGATGCCTACATATTATCAAAGTTGAATTGCGGCCCGAACGAAGATATATTTGTGCAGATAACGAGCACGAAATGAGCACGTACCACACTGGTCGAATAAAGAATGTTCATAATTTCAGTTAAATGGAATTTGTTTAGAAAATTCAAGAAGTCCCAAGTGACGAATCTATTTAGAAAATTTAGAAAATCTAGATGAAAACAGTTCGTTTGGAAATACGGATTTTGAAAGCGTAAAAAGTTGCCCTCTGAAAAAGCGTGTCATTAGTCGAATTAACTGTCGAGGGTCCCTCATAATAGCCGTTTCCAGATGAGAGATACATAATGTTAGGCTTTTCACGTACGTGCCTACACATACACAAAAGAGAAATGTTCCAGGTTTATTTTTCTCGTAAAATCGCTTATATAGCCATAGGACAACCAGGTGTGGCAAACGTTGACTAGTAGTAATTCCGGGATTTTCCGCAGTGTTTAGAAAAAATGCGCTACAATTTCTACCTGGTTTTACAGCGAGCTCGACTCTGTAGTTTGCTCTGTTCGTTGACGTCGTAAAAGTTTCGAACGTTTCGCTACTTATTGAATCTCCAATAGAACAACAGATAAATGACGATATTGTTGTTACCATAAATCATTCGGAACAGCCACACAATAACTTTTTTTTTCGCTGCCTGGCAGGACGAAGTGCGTAGATAGTGCTACTATGGTGTAGAACCTTGGTCGAGCGTGCACAAAAGAAACCTCGGTTCGTGTAATTTATTGTCCGTAGCCCCAGACGAAAACTCGACTGTAGAAATCTGCTGCGAGGATTTAAACAGAGATATTGGAAAGATTTCTACGGCGGATTTCTATTCAATCAATTGTTTTCGCAATCAAGTCTTAACACGTTTCGAATGTTCAGACTTATGTCCTTGGTCGCGATAACGCGACTATCGTTTCTTGTAGTCAAATTTTCGTCTGGTCCATATTTTATTACGCAAAGTGATATTTTCTTTTCCGCGCACACACTTGCAACAGGCAGAAAAATAACGCATCGTAAATCCGTGAGAGACAAAAAAGAGGACAAAAATTACAAGAATTCCCAGCAGAAGTAGCAGCTTTTATTGCTTTCTTTTTTTTTTTCTTGACGTTTCATTTCCCGAGAAGTAAACCCACGCTGTCACGCCTGATCTCTCTCTCTCTCTCTCTCTCTCTCTCTCTCTCTCTCTGGCGGAGAGCGATTTTGTCAATCTCTGACGTCAAGGTGCGCCCGAGGCGTGCAAAGTCGCGAATCGACGTGTCCGAATTCTCTACGTTACTCGACGCAAAACGACGCAAAACGAACAAAATTGTTGGACGGTGACTCACAGAGGCAATGACCGCGATCGACGATGAGATTTTTGCGCGAAATGGTGCAACACTCACGGGATTCTCGTCGGATTCGGGGAAAGTTACGAGTGGCCTGTTATTCCGTCTGCCTAAAGCGCTTCCAAGGCGATTCCAAGGCTTCCAAGACCTTCTAATGCCAGAAACATGCACATGATACGAACACGGATCCCTCCACTCGAAATCACGTTCGCGATGAGTGCGGGAAGGCACTCTTCCCGAAGCAGAGCGGGCTGTGCGCGCGTTCGCGCAAGGGGAATTAATCGCCGGCACCGGGCGCGGAAATTAAAATGTCACACACGAGTCCCTCGCGTATTTCTTGCGCTGCTCCGAATTGTTCCCTGCCGCAACCACGTGTTGCACCACGGAACACTACTAACCGAGATATTATCGAGCGGCCGTCGCGCTGCGCTCGCGAGGGCCGCGTTTATCTCGTCCGCTGGCGAGCTGGTGACTCTTTAGCGATACGACAGCTTTCAACGATTCCGATAGTTTGAAAAATCAAGTGGGCTCGGGCGATTTGCGCTGGACTAGCGCGGAACTAGCGAGTTGACGTCGCTCGTTTACATTAGGCTTCTCGATCAGTATGTGAATGAGTCAAGAAATTGCTTTATTCGATCTCTTTTTCGATCACTTAGACACATTTATTGAACATATTTATTGAACGACATTCGTCGTTTTCACGCTTACAGAGTGCCGAATCTCGGCTCACACAATTGTTTCGCTTATCGTTATACATTATTCACAATTTTTTCAGTCATCGATTACAAACTTTGTAATAATGAACATAAAGAGCAGAGCACGTCGCTCTGGATTTTCGGCAGTTGCGCTTCTCGCGCTTGCTCTTCGCTTTCTTTTGCGGTGAACGCATGTCTCGATCGTCCCACGCGACTAGCAATGACCGACGGTCGTGACGATCTTACAGTAGTGATTCGCAAAAGTTACAAACTGGCAAATACTCCTTCGCTGTTGTCGTCAATATTTCTATCCTACCTGTTTCCCCTCAATTACCACGCGACTCAATTACCTTCAAATCTCACGCTAACATCTGTTAACAATGCTCCTACTGCGCTTCCGCGTCCTTCACCGTGACGCCCCTCTCAACGCCCCTCTTCGAACCGTGAACGAATAAATTTTCTACAGATAATTCCGAAACAAGTAAACGTTTCCATGCCATAACAAATCGATCTCGAACAACCAAGTCGTCTTAAAATGTCAGGTCTTGGGCGCGATAGGGGAATGCAGTTTCATTCGTAACGCAAAGATCGACCTATCTGTCAATCGTTGGCTCGCTCGCTCGTTCGCTCGCTCGTTCGTTCGGCCGCTTTGGCAGCGTCTGACTTCCCTTCCCGATATGATTTCGGCCAATTGATCAGCGATCCAGCGCTTCATCGCGCGTGCACGCCTCCTCATACATTTGCAGTATTGTAAAGATTAAAGAACGGATCAACTCACGATTTCGTGACGGATGCTGAGCATTCCTGCTGCGGAGTGCGCGATGCAGGGCTGCGTACAGGTCCAGCATCAGCGTCATCTGATGCGAGTCCGCCTCGCCGTCGGTGGGCAGCGCGAACGGTATAGCCATGCTGCTGCTGCTGCTGCTGCTGTTTCTCGTCTTCTGCTTTGCGACCTCTTGCCTCTTCTTCTCTTGCCTCTTCCTCTACCCTCGATCGCACGTGACCGTCCGGAGCTCTCCGTGACCTCTGACCGCGGTCCACCGGTCGCTCTCTCCACGCACTGTAACCGAACCAAGCAACGTTCGCGGTTGAGCTCACTGAGCACTCAAAATCTCTCTGACGTCTCTCCTCGCGCACCAGTTCGTCTCGCGAACGAAATCGTCGCGCTCGCGCGATCAGTGTCCTGATCGACGATCTAGGCTAGCTAACGCACGCACAGAATCGCGGACGCGTTGCACGCGTGTGTCCCCTCGTCGCACGTGACTGTTCAGTTCACCGGCGCACGCTCTCAGCAGCGTGCATCGTCGCGGATCGCACGTGGTGCGCGATGTGCGCGCACGTAACAGCGATTCGCCCCCTCGTGACTCAGGAGCGATCCAGCTGGATCCTTGTCCTCGTGGCAAACGACCCCTCTCGGAGAGCCCGAGAGAGAAAGATAGAGAGAGAGACAGGAACGTGCTGTGGTGACAACGCGCTGACGGAGCGGATCTCTTTCCCGAACACGCGAGAGGTCGATGATCCTCCTCTCGCGCCGTTGGAGCACTCGCTCGTTGCGACGCGATCACGACCGCGTATGAACTGTCTCTTTTTACTTTTCGTTAATTCCCTCCTTCTTTCTCCCGTGCGACTTTTACTCGCGACAGCTGTTCGTCGCTTCTTACCTTGAAACACTGAGAACTCTCGTGGGCACAGAGCAGAAACTTGGAAAAGTGCGAGTCCCCGAGGGAGAAAGCGCTTTTCTCGAGCGATCTCCGCGAGCGCGGTTCAATGTCCCGTGACCCGATGGGGCTGCTTGGCACTGTGCGGTTTACACGTGAGTAGGCAACACAGACAGGTGTCGATTGCGCGAGCCACAGATCGTCGTGCGAGCACGTGAGTTGTCCTGGGGTCGCGCGTTGCCTCACCGCGACGTCGGACTTGACGTTGACGATCGGCGATGACGACGACGACGACGACGACTGCGAGAGCGACGTACACCGTGGCGAATTAGCCACGCGAAACTGTGTCCTCTTTGGCGCGATATATCACACGCGTGTATCGGACTGCGCGCACGAAAACAGACAGAGAAAGAGAGAGAGTCGATACGGGGGAAAGCAGAGCGGCACGAGATCTCTCGACTGAGCTCAGGTAACGAGAAACACGTTTGTACTCCTCGAGGTCTGGCACGGTAATGATTCTGTGCTTTCCTAGCGACTCGGTACGCACGTTCTGCCGGCTACCCCCACTTGGTTTTGTGCGGACGAGCGATCGCACGGTGGGGACACGTGCGCACGCAGCCGTTGGAGAAGTTGTAATATAGGAGTGGGGTGGACAGTCGATTTAGCCGGGGTGGGGGACGCGCGACGCGCGAGGAGCGTGACAATACATTGTCTACCGCTCGGAGTGGTTACGTTTGAGCACCAACAACCACTGCGATCGTGTGTGTTTTCAGTCGCCAGATAACCGCGCCGCCACGATGCGCCCAGAATTCCGTATGAAAGATAATTTAATGTCCCGTCGAAAAACGCACGCGGGAACTGCGCTTCAGCTTTTCACACAATCCGATTCAATATTGCGCTTCTTGCGCGGCGGGGGAGTAATCGCGTGACTAATCAAACTCCGAACTCGCAATAAAACAGAAGAATCTAGTTAGAAACGTCAACATTTTCTACATATATATATATATATATATATATATATATTTTTTTTTTTTTTTTATTTTTTTA